CAGTAGTCATGGCATGAAATAATGAATGCATGGATAACTATTTCAAAATTCTTTAGAGAGAGAAAAGGTTTAACTTTTGTGAGACGTCGTAGATGAAAAAAAAAAACATGATTTGACAACAGAATTCATATGTTTGTCAAACTTGAGACCTGAATCAAAAAACACACCTACATTTTTCGCACATGGAGTAACATAAGAACTATGTTATCTACACTGGATATCTGAAGCCCGAGACACACTGCACGATTTTAGCAATAAGATCACTGCAAACCACACTGTGCGACATGGATCTAATAAACTTGGGTACGACATGCATGTAGTAGACTGTACAGTGATGACACATATTGACTCGTAGGCTTTGACGCACAGCCTTTATAATTTCATGAATTTGGAATTTTAAAATCATCACTTAAATTTAGCCCTATGAAATATCTATTTACCAAGATGGAGTAACCAGTATCAACCATCTATATTTTGTTCTTGGACACTTTGTGCCCCTCTATTCCCTTTTTTTTTTTTTTTAAGAACCCTGTACATGCTTATCAGCTTTACAAGAAGCTCTGTTTTTAAATCAGAGTCTAAAATCTCTCTATATTTCACAGCAACTCCTCTCTATGCTAAATCCAGTCCGAGTTTTAGCTGATTTGAGGAATCAAGCAAACACTTAACTTCTTTTGGGTGGGACTGGTGAGTGTGTTAAAAGCAGTGTGTTGTTGTTTTATAATACAAAGAACTGCCATGAGACCAGAGAATAATCAAGTTGCAAATTAATATGTCAGACCAAGATTTGAGGCGGTCTATGTAGTGATCATTAAATATGTACCTGCACACGAGGGAAGAGATGAAAGTCTTTTATATTATTAGTGAGGTGAACATGTTTTGCCTGTTTTAGTGTCTCTCTCCTCATGCTGTGTCTTCCGGTCTGTCACTCGGTAATGAGGATCAGGTGGGGCATAGGAGGTTTGATTCAGGATTAGGGTTGCAAAGGGGCAGAACATTTACGGAAACCTTCCATGGGGAATTTTGGAAAAAAATGGGGGGGGGGGATCTGTGATGCTTTTTTCAGGATTTATTGATAAATAACTTATGAACAGTGTTATGAACAGTGTTTAATTAAAATATAAATATTTTCTAACAAAGTCTTTACTTTACTACTTTACTATTGAATAAAAGTATTAATATATTTCAAAAAAAGGAGAAAAGATACTGCCCCAAACGTTTGAATGGTAGTGTATTGTTAAAAAAAGGATTTCTATTTTAAATAAATGCCGTATTTTTTTTGTTGTTGTTTTTTTTTACTTAAGGATCACGGGTAATAAAAAATATATAAGCAGCACAACTGTTTCCAAAATTGATAATAAATAAGCATATTAGAATGATTTCTGATGAATCATGTGACACTGACGACTGGAGTAATGATGCAAAATTCAGCTTTGCATCACAGATATACATTGTTTTAAAGTATATTAAAACAGAACACCATTATTTTAAATTGTAATACCGGTAATACTGCGCAATATTACTGTTATGCATTTTTGATCAAATAAATGAAGGCTTGATGAGCCAAAGATTTGCAATGTTTAAAAACATATAAAAATAGTAATGTGTCCAAACTTTTGACCAGTGCGGTACTTCTGTATGATAACAGAATACTGTCTAACAGAAAGAACATCACAGCTTGAGCTAGCTATCACCTCATAAATTGTCAATGAAATAGTGCTAACTCGCTTAGATTTTTCATATCTTGATTTACTGGCTAGCTAGCTACTGTATAAACACTTTTTGGTATTTACTAGTTAAACTTGAATCCCACAGATCAAATATATTTAGAATATCAAAACTTAGATGTAGTCTTTGGGCTCAAATGCAGCAAGTGTGGCTTCAGAGAAAATGGAGGGGAATCCCCCTCTTAGGTGACTAGAGGGGATTGTGTGTGGGGGAGGGTCATTTTTGTCAGTGTTGTGGACTTGTGTTTCCTTGTTTTTTCTGTCTAGCGTCGGCTGTTATATGTCATTCCTGAGTTCCTGTGTTTGTATACCTTTGTTTGTTGGATTAAAGTCTCAATCGAAGTATTCTCCAATCATTCAGAGTGATTGTGACCATTTTTAGACTTCTGTTTTATTATTATCTCACCTAAATGTTTATTTAGTCAGTGTATTTGTTTTTACAACGGTATAGCCTATTTGAGTTGCACAGTATATTACACACAGCACAATGAAGTTTTAAACATATATTTTTTTGTAATATTCATGTAATTTACATGAATACTTACCACGATGGACATTTTGATATTTTGTGTGCAGGATTTAAGAAATTATCTGTTCATGTTATGGAGGAAAGCACAGTGCATGTAGGGGGTGTGGCCTCAGTAGCCCTGCAGTAAGCAGTGTTCTGTGTTCATGTGATTGAGTTAAACTGAAATTGCATTAAATCTGGTTGTTTTAACCAAGATTATGCTGCAAGATTTTTTCTCAACTACATTTAATTTTCCAGTTCCTGCCATTTTGCAAATGTCCAATTTATTCCCACTAATTCTCATATATTCCTATGGAAAGTTTCCAGTCTTGAAAATTCCCGGAATTCTGCAACCCTATTCAGGAGGCAGTTATCCCCCTCTCTGCCTCTCATGGCAGATTTTTTTCATTTCTGCATTGTTGCTCAGGCTTTCTCCATGCCCCAAAAGTGTCGGGTGTCTCTTGCAGGGGGTGGAGCTGCACATCCATTATTTTTCTTCTGTTCACAGCCATAATGTCTCTTTCTTCTCATTGTACCGTCCAGTCACCCTTGTTTGTATTGGCAGTCATCCCAGAAGCCATCTGGTTTCATCTATGAAATGAACACTCACGAGAACTGCATGTCGTGTAAATTCCATTGCAAATTCTGACCACAGCTGCATATAAGCAGTATGTGCTATTTTCAGTCATCTCGTGCAACTGTCCAAAATGTAAGGAATCTCATCCGGTTGACAATAGCAGTGCCTTATTTCATTTCAATAAAAGCAAGGTCTTCTTTGCAGAAAAAGAGCAAGCAATTTCTTCTTTGCCGAATGCAGAAAAGAGCAATAACCTATTCTGTCTGATGTGAGCACATCATAATTCTATAATCCTCATAAATCCTCATTTTAGTTAACACAAACTAAAGTCTCAAACTCTGCAGTGTATCACATTTCAAGCTGCTCTCCAGGGATAATGGATACAAACTTCATAAATCTAAAGATAACAAGATGTAATACATACTATAACTTTGAAGACATCTAACATTATATTATTAATTTAATCAATATAATTTTCTTGTGGCTCCCACATTTCATGTAAAGTATTGCCTTTAACTTTTCTGAGCCAATACGCAAGTCAAATCATAAAAATCTCTATCTAAATACAGTTGTACATATCTACATTGTCATCCATCTAATCCTAATTTTGGCTTTGTTGGTGACTGACAATGCTTTTAAAATAGCAGCGCACTTGATCTAACACAGCAGAGACAGAACAAAGCAAGAGTAGATTAATTTCAAAACTTCACTGAATCAAAGTGAACTTGGACCACAAATAATGGCAAATAGCCATTAGTTGAATTTGTAAGAAAGCAGTTTGCTGAAATATACTACTCTGCTGTTTCATCCATCCTGTCGAGATCAACTGACATAGACAATTAAAAGAATTGGTATTTAGCTGTTTATTTGTTTTAGTGCCTTGCAAGGACTTCACAATATCAATTCTCTCATCTCATTAGAAAATCATTCAATCTTGGAAGGACTGAGAATATCTTGATCTTAATGTGTGAATAGGAAACAAAGATAGCTTTTCACAAATCATCCATTCCCTTTTAAGAATGGGTAATGAAAAGGTCTTAGGTAAATCATCTATTCTCCTTCCCACATATAAATCGTGAGGTAAGTAGACTGACATTCAGTCGCGATCTGATACTGTTCTTCCCGTATTGTTTATAACAATACGAGGAAAACCCACTCTGTCAAAATTCATGGCACGAAAATGCGATCGATTTCTTATTGAGGACAGTATAAGAACAATTCTTTAAAGGGGTCATATGATGCGATTTCAATTTTTCCTTTCTCTTTGGAGTGTTACAAGCTCTTGGTGCATAAAGAAGATCTGTAAAGTTGCAAAGACTAAAGTCTCAAATCCAAAGAGATATTCTTTATAAAAGTTCAGAGTCAGCCACACCTACCTAAAACGGCTCGTTCTAACACCACCTCGCTTTTTCAGACCAATGAGCTTTGTAAAAATCGACGCGTTTCAAAAAGGCGGGGCATAGAGGAGAAACAATAATGTACAGTATGTGGAAAAGAATGTGTTTTTTTAACTTTAAACCGCATAAACTCATTTCATTACACCAAATACACAAAATAATGTTCCTGTGGCTCAGTGGTAGAACATTGTGTTAGCAGTGCAAAAGGTCATGGGTTTGATTCCCAGGGAACACACATACTGGTAAAAAAATGTATAGCCTCAAAGCACTGTAAGTTGCTTTGGATAAAAGTGTCTGATAAATGAAATGAATAATGTTCTTTTTAGCAGCATCATATGACCCCTTTAAAGAATTCTAAGTTAACTTTATTTTTCGGTGCCATCAGAATATTCTCAGTCCCTGTAGGCTACCATTCAGGAATGCATGGGCCCATGGGAAGAGTAATAAGCATGGAGTCAAATCTCTGTCCACAAACTTCTTCAAAGTTTATTATTACATCAACAGATTAGATACAATGGGCCTCATTCATGAAACACGAGCAGAACAAATTTTTGTGTAAATCGTTCGTAAAGCTGTTCTGACGTAAATTTTCGGATTCATGAAAGTGTTCGTATTTTCAAAATGTTAGTTGCCGTCTCACCGCGCGTCACTCCCGGATAATCGAAGATGGGCAAAGAGGCAGGAGCTGGTTGTTGAAACCACGCCCACCTAGCTCGATGGTGGTGACAGCAGCGGCAATCCACCTGTCACTCAAGTGGCCACGCCCTTAATTATGCAGAACTTTAATGAGCGCTAACTTCCGGGAACTATTGAGCGGCTCCACGATCCGCCATTGCTGTAAAAAACTGGTCCATTGGAGTGAACGGAGTTGTCGCAACTCTCTCTACGGCTCTGGCTACACCGACCAATCATCCTCCTTGTACAACAACTGAACAACAATAGAGAAGTTAACATTGCTGGAAGTTACTGGGGACCAGCAGCTGTTTAGTTACCCACATTCTTCAAAGTATCTTCTTTTGTGTTCAACAGAAGAAAGAACTTGCAGGTTTAGAGCAACCTGGGTAAATTATGACAGAATTTTCATTTTTTGGTGAACCGTACTTAGTCTGTTAGAGCTTGATAGACAAAATTATTATATTTTTAGACATTATTAGACAGATGAATTAATAGATTATAATTATTGTTAGACCCTATTTATTAATTTATCATTTATATTAATCATCTACATAATAAATAAGCATATATGTCATATACATTGTGACATTTTAAAAAGTAAAAAAATGCTAAATTATTTAGATTTGATGTAGTCCTAATTTAAGCAAATGAATAAAAAATAAAAATTAATCTCATCCATGTAACAACTGCAGAACTGTCAAAAAAAAAAGACTAATAAGAATGAATAATTTACATTCATGAGCATGTTTTCTCATGGTGTATTGTTGAGTTCCTCACTGATTATTTGTGTCCTTGTTTTTTGGGGGGGGGGTGCTGAAGGTGGCAACCCTAATATTTATGAATATTTCATGAATGAGGCCCATTGTGAGGGGGTACCCCTCTAACCCGATCTCATTAAAGTGCATATCAAGCATTTCCATTTGGAGTACTATTTATACGCAGAAAGTGACTTTGGTGTGCATATGATACTGCAATGATTAGGGTCATTGAATGACATATGACCAAGCGGCAACCTCCCGCTCTCTCTCGTGAAGCCAACACGGAAGTGACTTAAACTGTAATTTGTCAACTGGCCGCTAGAGGCTGGCTGCAAAAGGGAGTCAATCCCATAAACTCCCCATGTTAAAATGCCCAACTTTACAGCAGAAAAAAAACGTTTACAGCCTGGATCAAAAAATTATTTTGGTCTATATAGCTAATTTTGCCCTTCATGACAACTGTGAGGGGGGTGAATTTTTTTATAACTCATCTGTTTAAATGATATTAAGCCTTAAAGTTCTGCATAATTAAGGGCGTGGCCACTTGAGTGACAGGTGGATTGCCGCAGCTGTCACCACCGTCGAGCTAGGTGGGTGTGGTTTCAGCAACAAGCTCCCGCCTCTTTGCCCATCTTCAATTATCCGGAAGTGACACGCGGTGACGCGCTGCCAAGATGGCGACGTCCGCCTCCGCCCACTTTGAGCTTCAAAAACGCTCTTTGGAAACCTACGTGTGACGTCACGGACACTACGTCCATGTTTTTATAGTCTATGCATATGACATATGATTAGGGGTGTCGGGTAGATGCGGATCATGTGCACGCGAAAACTGCATAATAAATGCACGCCAATAAACTGCTTATTATATGCGCGTCAAACACGTGCGTATCATATGCATGCCAAAATTTCTGCATATCAATAGTACGATTTTCTGTTTGTATTTGGCGTACTATTTATATGCATTTTCATGAGATCGGGCTCACCCCTCTCTTCCAATAAGATATGCATTACATATGTGCATCATATAAGAATAGCTTATAAGAATAACATATAAAAGTTCTTCCCAGATGCATCCTGTTATTCTAGACTACACGCAAAACCTTGAACAAGCAGATAAAAACGAGATATGGAGAGGGGGAACACAGAAGGGTGGAGGAAGAGAGAACACAAACAGACAAACTCAGATAAATATTTGGCAGAGAGCGTGATATAATCTAACATACCTTAAGCTTGTTAAAAGTACAATTATGTACTCTTTGCTGTCAGAACTGATTTTGTACCTTTAAATTAAAACAAAGGTCCACAGTTTTCACCTTAAGGACCATTTCCTGTACCTACAGGGTACTTTCGTGGCAAATGTACCTTTAGGTACAGAAACAATACCCCTATTTTTCTGTATACCTACAGGCCACACATACTTAAAAAAAAATGTTAATCATAAGTTCAAAACATAAATTAATCAAGCTATCGATCAATCTATCACCAATTTGCTACATTTCTACAGTAATACTATATAGAAATACTTTCCAAATGTAAAAACAACAAAATACTTTCAAAACAGATGTAGCTGAACACCTACATAGGTGTTAGTCTTTCAATTTTATTATCATATACAAAAGGAAACAACTTCAGTAATTTTATAGTGAATAATTTTGTACTGTAATGTAAACTTGGACCACATAATATATACTTGCAATGAATTCTCTAAACAGATTGGCGTCATTGTTATTTTCTGAGGACATTTTACAAATAAAATCAGTGTATAATTAGGTCATTGAATGACAGCATGCTTGCTGGGTGACAACCTTTGTGTTATGGAAGAATGAGTCGATGTGTATGAAATGATATTTCATTTTCCTGCACTCTTCAAGTTGCATGTTGATTCCATCAGGTGGCATTTGCAGTCAAGCTGGAGAATTTACAGAAAGTTAAATCTATGCCAAAATCTTGTCACTCTTTAATTTACAAAACAACCCAACCTGCCAGTCCCCTTAAGAGGAATGTACACAAATGCAACAGATTAATATTCACTGACTAGAGACAGACACTGTTCAGAGCTGCAGAAAAGCTAATTGCAATCAAGAGAAACATGGATTCAAGAAAGTCTCCAACAGAGTGGAATTCATCTCAGAATCCAGAAACAGGGCAGCCATTGCTTTCTCTGCCGCGGGACTCTCCGGAGTACTCAGATGCTGGATTCCTTCCCTCTCACAGCAATCCCAGCAATACGGAGCTCCAGTGGCATCTGCCCTGTACATTCCAGGGTCATATCTGGTGCAGAATGTGGTCACTGTGCAGCCTACGGCTGAAGTGTTCACTCCACTGGCCAATCCACTGCCAGAATACATGGGCTACTCCATCTTTACCATGCTGTGCTGCTGTATGCCTCTGGGATCAGCTGCCCTTGTTTACTTCCTCACAGTAAGTAGTTCATATACAGTCTTATATACTTAATTTAACATATACTGTACATACCTGTCTTTTGTATATACAGTATATTTACAGTGCATTCAGAAAGTATTCAGACTCCCTTCACATTTTCAATTTAGTTATGTTGCAATTTGATACTACAACTGTTTAAATTCATTTTTTTCTATTAATCTACACTCTGTACCTCATAATGACAAAGTGAAAACAGAATTTTAGAAATGTCTGTAAATGTATTAAAAAGAAAAAACTGAAATATCACATTTACATAAGTATTCAGACCCTTTACTCAGTACTTAGTTGAAGCAAGTCTTTTTGGGTATGACACAACAAGCTTTGAACACCTGGATTGCACACCCAGTCAGGATCGTTCATTTACTGGTGATTTAACATCATGGATTGATGTTGATATTTTGATTGTAACTTTTGATAGAATTAATGTTGATTTATAGGCATTTTTTAACCTTTCTTCATGCATTTACAATAAACAATGTTACAATGTTTTTTAATGTCAAAAAATAACAACTGACAGTATTTCAACTACATTTCAACATTAAAGGTCTCATGCTGACTGGGTTACATCTAAAGATGCATGCTCATTCAAGATTTTGCTTATTATTAACTATTTTTGACATGCTCAGATTATTTACAGCATGTGAAGTATGACAAGTGTCTCTCTGTATATATGTGCGACTCAGAAATACAGTTTAGTGGCTTCCCGTAACTTTCGCTTATAGAGAAAGAGGTGTGGCACCGCAGAACAAAAAGGGAAGTCTGTGCGTTAATTTGTGACTTGGTTACCCCTTATGAAAAGAAGTCGCAAATATCTTCAGTTCATTCTTCCATCCGCTGAAATGGGGTTTAACCTTTAAATACTTACAAAGTGTTTTCATAAAACAGTTAGGTTATTTATCAAACAGTCTATTTTTATTTCCTTCAACAATACTCCAACTTTATTTGAGACCACAGTCAAAGCGTGTAATGATGTTTTTTTTTTGAATGAAGCCATTTTTGAAATTCAAACCAAAATTGCTGTACAAGTTCACACTGGAAGAAGATTTCAATATCTTTCTCACAGAACCCGCATGAATTGTTCTCCCAGTTAAATCTTTTGTGTAAGTTGTTATGGATAAATTTCATTTTGGATTTTAAATGGCTCTTCTTTGCCCTTAGGAAAGATTGGATAAGCTAAATATCGCTTATTTTCTTTGCTTCTTGAAGAACATAATTTCTTTTCAGTTGACTGGTACTGCTTCGATAATACATTTCAAATAAATTTATTTGTAAACTGATGACACAGAACAGATGTTTGGAAGGAACATGGGATAGAAACAGAGTTCATAAATCATTGTATGACTAGAATGATTTTGAAACTGATTTAAAGAGTTAATAATAAATAACTAAATAGCTAAATTTAACCAAATAGATGTCACCCCACTTCCTAGCAGATTAATCAAAGTACATGAATGCAGCTGTTTTGTATTACAAATTTTATGAAATATTATGTTTTATTAAATGTTGACAAATGAAAATGAGGCATTATCTAATTAAATATACAATTTGCATACATTTTCCAGAACAGAAATTTGGACATTGAATAAAGCAAGGTTTAAAATTATTGATAGATTTTGTTGTTTTGTTAGTTGTTGTTGTTTTTTTACACAAAAAGGATTTAGTTTCTCTTTTTCTTGCTTCATAAATCAGAAAATACTGTCAACAGCCAGAAAACAAAAAAAGGTTTTGTTTGCAAGGAAAACCTCTCTGTAACAGCCTTCAGAGTATAAACAAGGAAGTGGAGCTTCCTGGTTTAGTGTGTCAGAAAAAAACTTTTTTAGAAAACAGCCTTTAAAGATATGTATGATTTTCTCATTTCCATTTGTGTAATGTTTTCTTAGTGATTTTATATCCTGACCTGTGAATCCCTTAAATGTAATTTTTATGCATGTTATTTAAGAAAGGTGCTATAAAGGTAACATTGTAACATTAGTATTTTTTTTTACAGACTGGAGATGCTAACATGTTTGGACACCAGCAAATAGCCAGCAGAAACCCTAGAATGGCACGCATCATCAACCATATCAGTGTTGCTGTTGGCCTAATCTTTTGTTTGATTTATATAGTCTGCATCATTCTTCCTGTTGTCACAGTTACACGCATTCACAGCTTTAGACCATAATTGTAAGCAATCTCATGCAGGACACCAGAAAGTTGAAGATAGTAAGGGTTTTACAAACAGAAACACCTTATGATTCAAATACAAGCACATTTGTGGTTCTGCTTTTAAATGTTAGTGTTGCTCAAGTTATTTTTTTGTATGATAGCTTTTAGACTTTTTACTGTATGTATGAGGAGCTCCATCCAGAGGACCAGTGAGGAATGATTCAGCATGTTTAAAGGGGTCATATGATGCGATTTAAATTTTTCCTTTCTCTTTGGAGTGTTACAAGCTCTTGGTGCATAAAGAAGATCTGTAAAGTTGCAAAGACTAAAGTCTCAAATCCAAAGAGATATTCTTTATAAAAGTTAAGAGTTAACCACGCCTACCTAAAACGGCTCGTTCTAACACGCCCCCACATATCTACCTCACTATGTGGGAAGATTTGCATAACGCCGCCCAAATGTTCATGCAAAGAAAGAAGGCGTAACTTTTATTCTCGCTGTAGTATTGTTGTTGCCGCGATGTCGTGATGTCGTGAATACTTTGTTTGGTCTTCCAAAAGAGGACGATATCTGCTTCGTCATGCCTAGAGCTGATCTGTGCTGGTCGCTGAGGAAATACATCAACTTGGATGTATTTGGATGTATATATGCTGTGGATCGCCGGATCGGCTTTCACCTATGAGGCGCCGGGCTGGACAAAAGTGAAGCGAACGTGGAGAGAGAGAGAGCGACAGTTCGCGAGAGAGGCCGAGTGTGTCCGAGAGAGAGTGAGATGCGCGAGAGAGACCGAAAATGTGCGCGAGAGGGACAGACAGTGCGCGAGAGAGACCGAGTGCGTCCGAGAGAGAGCGAGAGAATGCAGACAGGGTTTTATGTTTACGCGGCGCGATACAACGCAACGCTTAAAAAGACAGAATGAGTCATTATAATCAGTAATTATGTCCCCACTGGACGCAACAAATGCCTCGTTTGTAATGGGTTTTAATGTTTTTGTCTCGTCGCTCCGGCTGGACACGGCATCAACAGTATGTGAGGGGCGTAACATTTCCGTCTCACGCTTGAGGTATTCGGCCAATCGCAACGCACTGGATAGCTGGCCAATCAGAGCACACTTCGCTTTTTCAGACCGATGAGCTTTGTAAAAATCGACGCGTTTCAGAAAGGCGGGGCATAGAGGAAAAACAATAATGTACAGTATGTGGAAAATAATGTATTTTTTTAACTTTAAACAACATAAACACATTTCATTACACCAAATACACAAAATAATGTTCTTTTTAGCAGCATCATATGACCCCTTTAATGTCACAGACTCCTCACAATATCATTGTTAATATATAATTAAAACAAATGCTTTTTAAAGTTAACTATTTTATGTTTTTTTTATTTTTTATTTAAGCTTTAACTGTTAACGTAAATGTAGCATCAATTTATGTTTGTTTTTCTGCTTGTCTTTATATTACATAAAACTTGGAATAATCACTAACAAATGCCGGATGTCATGTTTTAACTTTTACCAGAGTCTGTTTTTGCCATGAGACACTTACATTTAATTTTTTCTTGTTTTTAGTTTACTTTATAATTCATCAACTTCTTCTTCTTACCTTTTTAAACTCATGGGTTCTCCAGGGTGGCAGTCTTTACAATTAAAGACCTCAAATAAAAAAATGTCTAGTAACGGTATTTATCTGTATTTATTGATATTATCTAGTTATCACAAAAAGCATAATGTATAAGTTAATGAACCGAAATATCAAACCATAGTCTTGGCCAACAAACAATGTAATTCATAAATTATGTATACCTTGACAACATGATAATACAGTTCAATTTATTTACAGTTATGCATTTGTCAAAGAAGGTATTCAGGGCAGTATTATTTTAGTATAATTAGAGGTAAATCAATCAATATAACTTTTTATTAGTTTGTAGTTTTAATTTTATATTTTATGTTTAAATTTTAATTTGTAATAAAGTTCAAGTAATTTTGTTGTTTTTTTAGTTTTTTATTTTAGGCCTTACATTTTAGTTTGAGTTATTTTAGTAGACCAAGCTAAACTTAATTAAAGTAACAAATGCTGCATTGGCAACTAGCTGAAATAAAATTAAAAAGTTTAAGTTTAAATTGAAAAGTGTAAGTTTCTTATTTTTTATTTACTGTAAGTTTATGTTTATTAAATGAAAATATTTTTATGATTTTAGTTTTATTAGTTAACTATAGCACTGATTCAAGGTAGGCCTTCCAGTCAATCCCAACACACACAGGTAAAATTTGTAAAAAGAAAGAAAACCTACCAAATTAGGCCTTTACTCATTTATAGTGGTTTAAACCTATAATGCAATTTTTAAAGGGGTCATATGATGCGATTTCAAGTTTTCCTTTCTCTTTGGAATGTTACAATCTGTTCGTGCATAGATAAGATCCCTACAGTTGCAAAGACTAAAGTCTCAAACCCAAAGAGATATTCTTTATAAAAGTTAAAGGGATAGTTCACCCAAAAATGAAAATTTGATGTTTATCTGCTTACCCCCATGGCATCCAAGATGCAGGTGACTTTGTTTCTTCAGTAGAACACAAATGATGATTTTTAACTCCAACCGTTGCAGTCTATCAGTCGTATAAGGCATGGCAATGGTAACAAAATCTATGAGAGTAAAAAAAGAATGCACAGACAAATCCAAATTAAACCCTGCGGCTCGTGACGACATATTGATGTCCTAAGACACGAAACGATCGGTTTGTGCGAGAAACCGAACAGCATTTATATCATTTTTTACCTCTAATACACCACTATGTCCAACTGTCTTTGGGCGCGCGCACGGCTTCCGGTGCGTGAGGTGTGTACGCGCTCTGGCATAGTTTACAGTTGTATTTACAACACTGTTCCAGAACAGTTCAACCCAAATATTCAGATGTGTGCAGCACATTTTTACGGAGGACTGTTTCCTGAACCTGCAGAGTAGCCTACAGACGCATTGTCTGTGCACAAAGGCTGTTTCTATAAAGTGGGGCAGTTCCAACTTTGCAAGGAGGCCAATCAGAGCACACCTCGCTTTTCAGACCGATGAGCTTTGTAAAAATCGACGCGTTTCAGAAAGGCAGGACATAGCGGAGCAACAATAATGTACAGTATGTGGAAAATAATGTGTTTTTTTAACCTTAACCTGCATAAACACATTGCATTACACCAAATACACAACATAATGTTCTATTTAGCAACTTCATATGACCCCTTTTTAACAATTTTCTCTCCTTTTGTAACTAACACGGAAAGCCGTTTTAACATTTAATCTATAAGCCGTACTAGTATCTATTTTCATGGTAGGCCTACTAGTACTTATTTTTTAGATACTAGTATATTTTCCATTAAGTACTAGTACTTATTCATTAGGTACTAGTGCTTATTCTTTAGCTACTAGTGCTTATTCTTTAGGTACTAGTGTTTATTCTTTAGGTACTAGTGTCTTTTGTAAAGTTACTAGTACTTATTCATTAGATACTAGTATGTAATCATTAGATACTAGTACTTATTCCCATAGTGACTAGTATTTAATTATACTCTTCTTGTTAAGAAAAAATACAACTAGTACTTATTTTTTAGTTACTAGTAACTTTTTAGACCAGAGATATCCTGAATTTAATAGATACTAGTACTTTTTAAATTAGCATTTCTGCCCAGTATGGTAATCGTATGTTGAATATTAATGAGCCAAAAACATACAGGAGAGAGATTAGACAGGAAACAGAAACAAGAAGATGGATGTACTTTTTTGAGGAAACCACATAGAAAAGAAACAATTATTTGTACACAAGCACATAGAAAACGTATTTTTCTCAGTTTTGTAGACTGTAATGTCGTAAACAGTTCCTTAATGTGTTTGTTGGTCATCGAGTGACCTCTGGTGGCAGGATGGAGATAAGACACCAATTTTATTGTCTGTTATTTTCCTATTTTTCCTCCAGTAAAAACAATAAATATCATAACAGAGCTGTATGTTAACTTTATTTGCATATAGCACTGGTGCTACAGACACTGAATTGTTTTACATTAATATGCTGTACTGGGAACACTGGTGCTGCAGACACTGAATGTTTTTACATTAATATTCTGTACAGGGCACACTGGTGCTACAGACACTGAATGTTTTTACAATCATGTTCTGTACAGGGCGCAAAAAATCAAAACCTTATGGTTTTCAGACAAACATTTTCTTTATTTGGAAAAAAGGCCAAAAATTATTAATAAAAAAAAAACACCAGGTTTGCTGTACTTGTAGGGCCGCACACTTTGGCCAAAAATGTTGTTTTTATATATCAATAAAACTAATAATGACTATGGGTATTATTTCTAAATAAAAACATTAAAGAAAATAAGGAATATTACTTTTGTAATAACACTATTTCACTATAATATAGAAAACTGAGTATTTAAGAATAAATACAATAATAAATATAGCTGCAAGAAAAATAAAAAAAATGTACACTTCTTTACCCTGGAGAAAAACGTAAGGATTTGCAAATGTTTACCTCAAAGTTCGTAATTATTTTTGCAGTTTTTACTCAAATTAGGGTTTTGTGAACAATAATGACTGCTCAATTAATGTAATTTCTTTTTGATTCATATTCGTCGCCGGAGGGCGCCCTCGCGCAGAAACTCCACAAGTGAGACTCACTGATGATGTTCCAGGAAATTCAGCTTTCGCTGTAGATGTAGCCTAGTAGCTGAATAACATGCAGATAGACGTTTTACTGATGAAACATGAAGAAAATAAACAATGACTGTGACAACATATGGTTTTATCTGTGCTCTTCAAGCCATCTTGGGTATTTTTATAAGAATAAAGTTTAAAATGCAATGCTAATCGATACAGCCTTTATCACTGTATAGAATTATATAAAGTGGCATGATTTCTGCCTCATTCTGTTTAATGAAACCATGTCAGATTACAATAATAAGTTATTTCAAAGACTCGACTGATGTTGTGAAGTGAATTTGGACTAAAACATATCATTATACTTTTGTTGGAAAGCAGGTTTGTAATCTTTCCTTCTGTTTTCATGGTAACCAATTAGCAAGATAGGCTAACATACAAAGCCAGTTAGCCTTACTTAACAATCAAATTAATTCTGCATATTAATGTTTTGTATTACCAGGTGGACTCTGATTGGACGGTGGAGAGGTACTCATGTTTATGTAATGATCTGTTTAAATGAAGATATCTCCAAATACATTCTCACTAGTTCTGTATGAGGTTGAAGATATCTCCAAATGAACAGGGAGTCGTAGTTATTCTGTTTTTGATATCATCTTTTAATTTCTGACTAGTAATTATTGCAATAGTGCCTAGTATCTATTTAAATATTACTTCTAAGCATTCATTAGATACTTATTTGTTAGATACTGGTACTTATTCATTAGATACTAGTACCTATTTAATAGATACTAGTAGTTATTCATTAAGTACTAGTACTTATTTATTAGACACTAGTGTCTTTTGTAATAACTACTAGTAACAGCTAGTAACATCTTACTAGTCAGATCTGCTTTTTTACTTGTCTTATGTTATGACTAGTCCAAATGGCTACAGTAGAGTTCAATTAAAAAATGTACTAGTGAAATAAAAAATCGTACTAGTAACATTTCGAATAAGTACTAGTATCTAATAAATGTGTAGTATCTATTGAATAAGTACTAGTATCTATTTAATAGGTACTAGTATCTAATGAATGAGTACTAGTTTCTAATAAATAAGCACTAGTACCTAATGAATAAGTACTAGTGTCTAATAAATAAGTACTAGTATCTAAAAAATAAGTACTAGTATCTAATGGACAAGTACTAGTATCTAATAATAAGTACTAGTACCTGATGAATAAGTACTAGTGTCTATTTAATAGGTACTAGTATCTAATGAATGAGTACTAGTTTCTAATAAATAAGCACTAGTACCTAATGAATAAGTACTAGTGTCTAATAAATAAGTACTAGTATCTAAAAAATAAGTACTGTATCTAATGGACAAGTACTAGTATCTAATAATAAGTACTAGTATCTAATGAATAAGTATATACTAGTGTCTATTTAATAAGTACTAGTATCTAATGAATGAGTACTAGTATCTAAAAAAATATGCACTAGTACCTAATGAATAACTACTAGTACATAAAAATTAAGTACTAATCACTAGTGGAATACATACTAGTCAAAACTGAATAGTTGATATCTCAATTACGGATCCCCATAGAAGTCAATAGCAAAAATGTAAATTTTTTTTACTAGTAACAATATAATAGTTACTAGTCACTACTGAAATACGTACTAGTATCTATTGAATAAGTACTAGTATCTAATGAATAAATACTAGTATCTAATAAATAAGTACTAGTATCTAATAAATAAGTACTAGTATGTAATC